TGTATCTATTCTCAGATGTTTTGTTTTAACCATGTGCTGAAATTTCTTGACTGTGCTCTCAGACTTCCACAAAGCTGATCTTGTCAAAGGGTGGTTCTCAAGCTTGAGCCTCCGTGAGGGGATGACGGCAGAGAACTCCTGTTCCACTGTCTTATTTGTCACGCTCAAGGCCCACACATGTTTACAAGGAAGTTAGTCAAATCTTTAAAACTGCAACATTAACTTTTTTTAAGTCTAGAAATAGTATGAAGGTTACCTGATTCATTCCATAAAGCTAGACTAATCTTTATACCAAAACTAGTCAACGATATATAAGAAAATCATAGACAAATCTCATATGTATACAGAGATGCAAGAATGTTGAAGAAAATACTAGAAAATAAAATAAAGTAGTGTACCAAAAATAATATATTATGACCAGGAAGTGTGTATCCTAAGATACAGCACTTTTGGAGTAGAATTGGTGACACTGAACTTCCGTTGCCTCTAAAATTTCAATGTTATTCTCCATAGGCCTTTCCTTACTTTCCTAAAAATAATGTATTTTAAATGAGTGCTGATTTAACTGAATATTTTTTGTATCTATTTACTCTATTAAATCTGCTGTGTGCACACAATCCAATCCTTGCCATTCTGCCACTCTCCTGATGCTCTGAATCTTAACACAGGAACGGAAAACTTCAAGAGTGGCATCCTCAAGAGACTTTGCAGTAAGTCAGTCCTGCTATCTAGATTCACAGAGCTACTCCAAGCTGTTGTTCTTTCTGAAAACTGATACTTTAGCTATTCTTTCATTCTGTCAGCTACCTTAGATCTTTCCAATAATTTTTAAGTAAAACTTACATTTTAATTTATGTTTCTAGTCCATCTAGTCTCTTTTATTCAGTATGAATAAGGATTATACCCTTGGGCTTGCCATCAGAAACCTACTATATTAGTACCAAATCATTAAAGACTAATTTATTCATTTACCTATCATGTTAACTACGTTATCTACTACATGTCAGGCACTGAGCTAAAGATGAGGACACACAGGTACTAATCTGAGTATAACAGAACCTGGCACAAAGAAAGGAATGATGCACATTCCTTGATAGATGTTCAAACAACTACAAATTCATTTAACCTTGCTAACATCTTGCCTGTATATCCATAGATACGTAACAGGAGACTCGTGTTTTGCAGAAACTAAAACACACTATATCCACTGGTTGGCATGACCTGATCATGGTAAATGCATAATGACTCTTATCAAGCATCACATTCATTTCTAAGTGTTCAAAAATCATCTGTCTGAAAGGAAGCACTTCTCAAACATTAAACTAACTTTAATACTCCTGAATTATTTTTAAGGCAAAATGTTACTAACAAAACAGATATTTAGGCAGGGAATTAACTGGATGTCTTAATTTGAGCAAAGAGAATATAAATTTTAATCAGAACACAGTCCTAGACTGTCTTTATACACATAGCACTTCTCTCTACCCTAAGTATGCTTCAGAAAACATCCCCAGGTTATGGTTTTCCCATCAGCAAGTTAGCAGACTTTGCCTGTTTCACGCCTACTAGTATAAATAAGTTGCATTACACAATTATATGTATGCGTTTTTAAAAATAAAAATATAAAGTAAGAATGAACATAATGTACTACCTATCCATATTCAATAAGCACTGTTTTATTACCAATTCTTGAGAAGTTTTGCTGTGAAAAAACAAAGAAATGCATTCAGAAGGTTGTAAGCTTATGAAAATTAGCTAGGAAAAAGGGAAAAATGGAAAATTTAGAAGAAATTACTACAAGAGGGAATTTCTTTAAAAATATCCATTTTCATGTTCATCTCTAATGAAGACTGAAGTTATTTTAGTAAATACACAAACAAGTTAAGAATCAAAAGCCAGAGAAGAAAGTGTTACACACTAACACAAGTTGGTGCTGTCCTCCCATGCTCCTTACAGCACATGCGATCCGAGGTGCACCCGCCCACACGCACCCCAACTTGGAACCAGACTCCTTAAACCTGAGAGCAAAGAGGCAGCCCAAATAAGTAGATAAGCAAACAGTAATTCCTTGACAGGACAGAAGATGAGTATGACATTGGCCTACCTGCACCTGGTACCTCCCTACCTAAACTAAATTTAGTCTACCATGATTTGACCCTAGATCTACATGTTTGCTTTCTGTGGTAAAAAATCTATTTTTCAATTCAACTGAAACTTCGCTAGTGATGAGTAAAACTTACAACTCCTGAAACCACAGAAGTCAACTATTCTTAATTCAAATAGTGCCCCTAATTTCCCACCATTTAAAAATAAAAAATATTTTTGTTGTTTTAAGTGTGCCAAAGAGACCTTCTGTGGATTGACCCCTATGCTGTTCACTTCTTCACATCAAGTGAGTACCATTAGCTCAGAGACCACTGATGCCAAATTTTTACACAACCATCTGCTTTTAATATAACCCAAACAGGACTATGTTCAGCCATTTAGAGCCTGACTGTTTTACACACTTAATGAAACTGCATCAGTATCCGCTAGCTACAGAGTGGATAAAGCCCAGGGCTACTGAAGGCCTGGCTCCTGCTGTTCCAGGTGCTCAGGGCCCAGAGTCTTCCCACCTCGCAGTTGAGTGACACGATCTAGACACATAAGGCCCCTCCCCACTCCATCTTCCCCAGGAGTTCCCACGCCTTCTTCCCATTCTGGGTGTAGCTCAGCACGGCTCTCTCTGGAAGGTCTCTGGCTGTGAGGGACTTTCCTTTGCAACCTGTCAAAACTCTGCCTAAATAAAGTTCATTGTGTGCTACTCACATCTCATGGTCATGTCTTTTTTTTAATCAGCCCTGAAATCTGTAACTACTACAAATGCATTTTTTCAGTGAAACTTTACAAAAAGTAGCAACTGTACTTGAATCATTTTAAAAATCAGAAAGCCCAGATATCAAGAAAACCTTTAAAAGCTAAATGAAAATATGAAAAGTTTGTAAGTTCCCATAAGAAATTTATGATAGCCTATTCACACAATTTCATTCAGTCAACCAAACAAAAAACAAGCCTTCCACACACAAGGTACAAGTCTTTCAAGAAGCAGAGGTTATACGTTAGCATGAGAGTCCAGGGCTGTGCTCCCAAGTGCAGCAGGATGGAGTGCAGAAGGCACGGCACAGACACACAGTACGTGCTCTCAGACTGAGAGGCCCTCGTTCCGTGCTGCAATTTGCTCAGGTAGAGCCCCTGCTGATCTAACCAAGCACTGGGGAGAGAAATCTGACCACTTTAATTCACCACACCCCCTATGCAGTATTGCTACCCAAAATGCTTATGCTGATTCTAACCCTGAGGACACAGGCAACTACAAACTGAGGGACGTTTTGTAAAACAACTGGCCTGAACACTTCAACAATGTCCAGGGCATGAAAGAAAAAAAGGAAAACTGGGGAACGGTTCTAAATCAAAGAGATTATAAATGCCATGACAGTGATGAAACACAATACTCCGAACAAAACAAAAACAAAAACAAATAAAAACAGCTATAAAGGACATTCTGAAAATCAGGGACATTTGAATATGTACTATATGCTTTACAGTACTATTTGTATCAGTGTTAAATTTCCCAAATGTAGTAATCACACTGTGATTATATTAAGAGAATGTCCTTTTTCTTAGGAGATACATACTGACATATTTAGCAGAAAAGTGTTAGGATGTCTTAAACCTACTGTCCTGTATAAAAGCAGGGCTGGGGGCGGGAGGCAGAGCACAAGCACTCTGTGACAAAATGTTGGTAAGTGGTGAATCTACAGGAAGGGATATGGGTATTATTTATAATACTCCTGAAACTTGTCTACAGATTGGAATTTTTCAAAATAAAAAGTTAGGTAAAAAAAGTCAGAGAATTTTTTAAAAGGATGCCATAGAAGCATCCCAAGCCCAGTGTATTGTCTGCCACCGGGTCCCAGTCACGGGGGCCCGAACTTGAGTCTGTTAACACTGTGCTCCGCCCCTTCTTCCCTTCTGTCCAGCCTCTTCTCATCGGGTTCTCACTTCTGCCATTCTCCCCAAACAGCTCTCAACAACATCTTCAGCCTTATTCAGCTTCAACAGCACAGACATATTTGATTAGTCCATACCCTAAATATTTTCTCTGCTTGGTTTCCAAGACACTGCTTTTTCTTTTGTCCGTCTATCTCACTGACCACAACTTTTGAGATTCTTTTGACTGGTTCTTTCCTTCTGCCATCTTTACCCACTACAGCTCCCCAGTGTTCTTTCTTCACCTCGGTTTCCCATCTACAGTAACTCCTTCACTGTTCCCATCCAGCACCACAGCTTTAAATACCATCTGAATGCTGATGACAAGTTTACATCTGTAACCCTAGACTCATAAAATCATAATTTTATGATCATACATATTTAATACTTTTAAGAATAGGGTATCATCAGTAAATAACTTTTTTTAATCACTCATAATCCAAACATTCAAAAAACAAGTGTTACTATTTTGATACATTTACATCTTACCTCTTTTCTATTTAGACATTGCTTTCGTCTCACAAATTTGTGATCAAACTACATACACACTTTGTACAGTCTTTTTATCTTTATGCCTTTAACAATTTTTTTCAATTTCTATTTGCAAAAGGCAAAGATTTTAAAAGTCTCCCTCACTTTGACATACAGAAACAAAATGACAGATTTGTCATTCCTAGTCTATCAAAGATTATTCTTAAAATAGTACGTTATTTTTTTAAATACTGCATGCGTAACTGTGTTTTAAAAATTCACAATAACTCAGGTTACCATTTCAGTATACAGTAAAAAAGATTATAGAGATGTCAGTATTTTTAAAAAAAATTATGTCCTCAGAATTACACATAATAAAGCAACTATATTTTTGTCAGTAAAACATGTCAAAAGCATATTTTATACTATGGAACAAAAAAAAAGCCTTCCTCTGCAACTTACAAAAATTCTAAACAAATTTAGTAAGGGTAACTACTCACCCCCTATTACTGACAATTGCCTTTTTCAAGTGAATGTAATTTGCAGGAAAGATCCCCTGTGAAAGAGAAAAGATTTATCATTAGAAAAGAAATTTGGATTAACATTTGATATATACTCTTAGAATTTCTTTCAAAAGGAGTACCTTTTGTCATTCATAATAAGGCCCTTCCAATCATAACTGACTTTATGTTAATGAAGTGATAGGTCCCTCCATAGCTTCAAGATGGGAGACAGCTGCCAGGGGAACCAACCAGGAGATTACAGGGTTGGCACTTTCAGCCCCACTCTCCAACCTCCAGCGAGGGGGATGGGGCTGGAGACTGAGTCAACCACCAAAAACCAATGACCTAATAAATGGCGCCTTCATAATGGAAGTCCCATAAACACCTCAAACAGTGGGGTCTGGAGAGCTGCCAGGCTGGCGAACACATTAAGCTGCTGTGAGACTGGTGAGCCGAGAGAAGCTCCGCGCCCCAGCCCACAGGGCCTGCCCTGTCACCTCTTCCACATGGCTGTTCCTGAGTGGTGTGCTTTATGATGAACTGGAAATAGTAATTAAGTTGTTTTCCTGAGTTCTGTGAGCCGTTCTAGCAAATTACCAACAGTGGAAAGAGGTCACAGAACCTTCAGTTTATAACTGGTTGGTCAGAAGTATGGGAAGCCCAGGACTGGAAACAGGCTTCTGAAGCGGAGGTGGTCTTATGGGACTGAGCCCTTCACATGTGGGGCCTGACAGAAAGTCTGGATCATTAATGTTGAAATTGGATTAAATTGTTAGACATCCAATTGGTGTCCAGACAGCTGGACAGTTGATTGTCATAATAGAAAAAAACCACACACTTTGTGTCAGAAGTGCTGGGAGTAGAAATATATTGACTAAAAAATAAAGAGAAAAGTGACTGAAAAAAATGAGCATCAGGAAATGTGTGACTGTGGCAACAACAAAAAAAGATCTGACATTCATGTCAAGTTCTGGGAAAAGAGAAAAAGGGCAAGGCTAACATGTACATGAATAAATTCTAGGAAGAATGTGGACAATAGACACTCATTCTTTGTTGGTGGGAATGCAAAATGGAACAGCCACTTGAGAAGGCAGTCTGAAAGTTTCTTACAAAACTAAACATACTCTTCTCATGCAATCCAGAAACTGCAGTGCTTGGTAATAACCCAAATGAATCAAAAATGATGTCCGCACAAAAACCTGCACACAAATGTTTACAGCTGCTATTAAAAAGAAAACCACAGGCCCAAAGATGGAGTCACTCATGCTAATGGTCTGTGTCAGCAAACTAAGACTTAACACCTAACCTAAATGTAGTTTCAGGTCCTACCCCCAGGAATGTAACCTTTAATCAGTCAATATGGAATTTCCTGCTTAGCACTAGGAAATCAACTGATAGACTCCTTCCATCCCCTTAGGAGGGCAACCCTTCCTAACACAATGGATTCTCTGCTAGCAATTTCCTTCCTTCGACTCTCTCTCTACCTTTAAAAACCCTTGCCTTTCTGCAGTTGAATGCTCTCTCTCTCTCTACTTGCTAGACAGAATGCTGCCTAATTCATGAATCTCTTAATAAAGCCTATTAGATCTTCAAATTTACTTGGTTGAATTTCTTTAATATTGCTTTATTTGTAAATGCCAGAAGTTGGAAGCAACCAAGATGTCCTTCAATAGGTAAATGGACAAAAAATAGCCCATCCAGATCAACAGAGGTGAGGCTCAGAACCTCACCGCCCCTGCTTTGAGAGAAATCTTCTGCATCCGTGGATGTCTTGCTGCCCTTGTCTAGCCTGGATTAATACTTAGTCCATAGGCACACACCTGATCATCTGATCATCTACATTTGCCTTCTTACAGCACTAAACTATGTTTTCTACCTTTATCTTGCATCTACCTACCACTTCAGCATTTTATTAAAAATAAAAATAATAATAATAATAGGAGAAATGTGGGATCAACATATAAATCAAGTACAAAAATCAAA